CCAAATGTGTGGGCTGGTTTAGGGATCCATAAGAAAGAGTGAAGTTAACTGTGGTTAGTTGTTATTGTTGTTATGTGCCATAAGTCAGACCCGACTCATAACAACCCCTCCTTGGGTTTCCAAGGCAGTATCATTATGGAAGTAGATTGCCCAAACTTCCTTCCAAGCAGTGGCTGGTGGGTTTGAACCGCCAGCCTCTGGTTAGCAGTCAAGTGCCTTAGGCACTATGCTACCAGAGCTGGGAGGAATAGAAGGACAGATTACATGGAAAGTCTTGCAAATCAGATCACACAGGCTTTGAAAACAGAAGGAATGAGGGCTTTTAAGCAGGACAGGTCTATTTCTTTTTGCTTTATTTATTTTTATGCCATGCAAAAGGAATAAAGAGGCAGAAAATGGTGGATCTCATTGGGGCAATATTAACAATATGCAATAATGATTTAAATGAAATTATGTTGAATGAAGTTCATGCTCAGAACTGTTCTTTTCATCATAATCTTCCCTGAAATTGGTTTGCAGATGAAGAAGATTACAAATATATAAATAAATACACACACACACATACACACACAAACACATATAATCTTCTTCATCTGCAAACCAATTACAAGGAAGATTTTGAGGAATATATATATGCATTTATGAATATATGTGTATATATGAATATATATAATGCAGTGCTCATCCCTGCTTTGTTTTCTCTTGTCTTCCTTCCTTGGATTTCACCATAATTGGTCCCTTTTCCATTAGTAGGACTGTCCTGACTTAATGATACCTTGCATCAAAGTTTTTTCAAGCACTTGAGAAGTAGGCAGGTTCTGATGGTTATCTGTGGTTGTATTTTGATGTCCTGTCCTCCCAGTCCCTTACTTCAGCATACAGCATTCACCTTAAGCCCTAGCTCATTGCTTGATGATTTGTTAAGGCTTTGAAAACAGAAGGAATGAGGGCTTTTAAGCAGGACAGGGCTATTTCTTTTTGCTTTATTTATTTTTATGCCATGCAAAAGGAATAAAGAGGCAGAAAATGGTTTGACTGAAGCCAAATAAATCTGGATAAATGGAGCAAGGACCCAATAAAAAGCTGGAGGTGAAAAAGAAGAAAAGTAGGGGGTGGGGAGAGAAAGTGACGGGAGAAGGGAGAACTTTACATTGCCTGTAATGACAGGGATTGTTTATTATTGCCTAGAGAACAAAATGTCTTTGACCCAATGAAACATTTTAAACTAAGTTTCAGTTTTGGGTAGAAATTAGGAAATCATCTTTATGGTCCTTATTGAATCTTTTCATGCTGTCACTTGTCATCCATTATTAAAGCTTTGTATGCCACTGCTGCTAGCCCTGAGAAGGCTGACATCGTTTAGTTGTTCTGATGAATCACACCGCAGAAGCGAGAGAGCTTTTCCAGCCAATACAGCAGGAGTTTCCCATAGTGCTCTGGAGTGTGTGTGTTGTCTTTCTGTCCCATTCATGCCCCCTTTTGACTATCTCTGCTTTCATGGAGAAGTGGAGAGATAGAAGCAAGAGATGATACTAAATGAAACTGGAGAGTAACAGATAGGTTCTTTCATAAAATTAGAAACTGTCTTATACCCCATAGTATAGCTATTTATGCCATCTCCTTATATAGCTCCAAATTAACTTTTCACAATTCTCCATGACTACCATGGAGAATAGGAGTCCCTGGGTAGTGCAAATGCTGAAGGATCTGGCTACTAACCAAAGTGTGGTGGCTTGAATTCACCCAGAGTCACCTAGAAAGGCCTGGCCATCTACTAAAAGATCACAGCTATTGAACACCCTGTGGAACATCATTCTTTTCTGAAACAAATAGGGTAACTTTGAGTCAGAGTCAATTAGATGACAACTCAGTTGACTTTGGTTTTAGCATGTTGGATCTGTTAAGATAGCCACAAACTTTACCTGGGTTACTTTCACCTGGGTTGCTCCTGTTACACCGACATCCAGAATTTCATTTGTTCTCATTGAAATTGCCTAATTTCAGTCTCTCCTATCTGCCCTCCCTTTCCCCTATTCCCTCACTAGGCATAATATCCATCCTGTGCACATTCCACACTCACTTTCAGAAATACAGTGTGGTAAAGGGCTTAGGTGATTCTACACTATCTCACCCTAGAGGTATCTGGGAATATGTGGGGCCAATTTTTGGTTGTCACAGTGTCTGTAATTGGTATTGGCATTTAGTAGACAGGGGTCTAAGGATACTATGCATCCTGCAGTGGATAGAATGGTCTCAAATTATGGTGATTTTTCCCACATTAAATAGCAGTGACTGCTGCTGAGGAACTCTTGAGGTTCAGGTGGGGGCCAGCAACTTTGGCTAATACAGGCTTTCAGCTGTGCCTTGAGGACTCCCTTATGTTTGTCCAAGCAGAACTGTGCTCTTTTCGCTGGTTGATATTTTGGAAGTAGATTGCCAGGCCTTTCTTCTGAGGTGCCCTTAAAAAAAAACAAAAAACAAACTCACTGCAACTGAGTTGATGCCAACTCATATGGACACCATTGGGTTTCTGAGGCAGTAAATCTTTATGGAAGTAGATTTCTCCACCTTCTTTCCATGCAGTGGCTGGTGGATGGGTGGTTTCACACCTTCAGTTAGCAGCCAAGTGCATTAGAGCTGGATGCTAAAATCATCTCCACAATCTAGTGTGACCCCTTCCTGGCACAAAGTAGGTCCCTAATAAAAATGTCTTTCATTTTTAATCAGGTTGTTAGTTTTTAAACTAGCCTACTCCATTCAATATGTTCTATGTTAGTCACTATAGGGAACAGAAAGAAATTTAAGATATTTTCTAGCATCAACATTCTAATAGTAAGAATGATAAAATAGGTACAGAAACAAAATAAGTTGGAGAATTCAAAATGCTAGTGATACAAGGAGGGATGATAGTTTATTTTTGAGCAGGATTGTTAGGGAACTTTTTTTGGAGAGCTTAAAAGCTTCCTCCCTCCTCCACTTTGGGAAAGGCAGCTGAGTCTCGCTCCTCTCTCTTTGTATTTATTTACTTATTTAAACATTTTATTACTAACAGCAAATTAGTTTTCTCAGTGAATTGTTCTTTGAGAATAGTTCACTGAACACATTGTTCAATGACATTGGTTGCAATTCATGCAATGTGTCAGCACTCTCCCCATTTCCTTCCTGGCTTTTCCGTTACCATTTGCCCAGTTTCCCTGTCCCTCCCTGTTTTTTCATCTTTGCTTTGGGACAAATATTGCCATGTTGATATCATATAATTGATTGTTCTGATGGAATACATTCCTCATGCTGTTTGTTTTACAGCATAATATGTTAATTGGCTGGAAGATGGCCTCTGGGAGTGTTTTCAGCTTCAAATTAGAAGGTTTTCTCAGGGAAAGTCTCAAGGGTTCTTCTACCATCTTTCCAACTAGTCTTTCTCTTCTTTTTTTTTCTTTCATCTTTGAATTTTGTTCTGCTTTTTTTTTTAACCCATTCTCACTGGAACCTTCTATTGTGGTCTTGGTCATAGTGGTTCAGCGGTTGGTAGAAGTAGCAGGCACCATCTATTTCTTCTGGTCTCAGATTAGAGGATGCAATGATTATGTGAGCCATTAGTCCTTTGGACTAATTGCTTCCTTGGGTTTTCATTTTTCTTAGTTCTCCTATGCTCCCAGTGGGAAGTGATCAGTAGTTACTTATTAGATGGTCACTTGCTTTTAAGATCCCAGGTGCTATTCATCAGACTAGGATGTAGAAGATTATTAACTATATTTTCCCAATTGACCTAGATTTCCCTCCATCAGGGAGGGTTTTAAAAGGTGGATTTTGAGGAGATGCTTCCTGAAGTTGGAGGTAAATTCCATAGAAAAGTTTGTAGGAAGACATAGAAAAGTATAGGAAAATAGTCTTACACTACAGTACTGTAAACAATACTTGAGAAGATGTGGCAGAAGTTAAGACTAACAGGGTAGGTAAGGACAAGTGTGGATGGTCTTGAATGTCTTGTGGAAGGAGTCTTTCTGCTTGACGGTATGGATTTATGTATGAGTTTATTCATTGGTGGTAGTGTCTGATAGTGCTGCCTCATGGTCTATATTTTGCCTCAATGTCCTTATCCATGGAGTCCATGCTGTAAACTTTCCCAGTTATCAGTATTTAGAATTGCCTGCCTGATTTTCAAGGTCTCCTCTCAAGAACCCTTTTCAGTGTATTAATTTAAATAGCAGCAATTTTCCTAGAGGTGAATCACATAATGATTTTTTTCAATTTCTTTTATAGTAGATATCACTGAAAAAGTATATGATTAGATTCAATTCAGTTGTCTTCCACAAAAATAATATGTAGAAAATACCAACCAAGGTGACTCTCTTGTGGCTTAATAGACTAAAGATTTAGGTTAAGGATAAAATAGAGAACTTTTCTGCTCTAGGAAAGAAAAGGTATTGTGCATATTATCTTAAAGAGCCAAAAACAGGGTCCAGTTCTTACTTGAAACAATTTGTTCTTGGCATAGTGTCAGCTAAAACTGTGGTCAACTTTTGAAAATTGTGTGAATTTGCACTGCATATTTTATTTAGTGTTCAGCAAAACTCCAATATGGCTCTGAATAACTTACCCAATACATTGTGAAAATGACTTCAGAAACTCCCACAGAAGTTGACAAATTGGGCATCTAATGCTTTTAAGCTAATTGCCTGTTTAGTGGGTAAAGGGTTGACTTTTAAGAATGAAGATCAGCATTTCATGGAGATTATGTTCTGCCTACTGCCCACTAAATACAACCCAACCCTGTATCAGAAATATAACAGAAGCCTTAAAGAAGAAAATAATGTGAACTTTTTTCACCATTCTAGTCTTAAGTGAAGTGCTTATGAATCATGTGCAATATCCTAGCAGTTTTGAAACCAGTTCTTGAATCTTCAAGCTGTTATTTTCAGGAAATTTAGAAAGCAAATTGCTAAGTGATACAGACTATTTTGATACCACTGCTTATGTCATCTATTCTTCCTTCCTTGCAGACTGGAAAAAAGGAAAGGAGTAATACGCTGAATATCGCCATAGACAACATGTGCAAGAAGACAAGAGACCTCCGCAGACAGGTGAAGGAAGAGAGAGTTATGGAGACAAAAACGTACATAGCAAAATGCTTCTTTTGCTGGAATAGTTATTTCTTGTTTATGACCAGTTTAAGTTAATTTATGCGATAGCACAAAAAGAAAAACAAATACACTTACTCCTCACTTAGCAACTCTCTTGTTATCTGACATTTCTCATTGATGGCAATAGTAAAAAAATTATTATCAAACTATTTAGTGCATTAATGACATACATTTCTGGCAGTGATGAATGCTGAGGTGAGAGTAATATTGGCTACAATGGTTAAGCTTTTGTGTCAACCCAGCTGGCCCATGATTCTTGGTAGTTTGGCAGTTATGTAATTTTGTGATCTGATGTGATCATCCTCCATTTTTGCATAATGCTGATTTTTGCATAATGATCTAATCTTTAGAACCCAATCTTGCTGGTGAGGAGTTGGTTGTTTAGTTCTCACATGTACATACCTCTGTTAGGCCAAAGCAAAACCAAGCCACCAACATTTCAGTTAGCAGCTTCCTCCGGGGTGTCAAGCCCTGATGAGACAGCCTAATAAGACAACCGAAGTGACAGAACCTGCCCAGACTGGAAAGTCCCACGCAGTGGCAAACTTCCTCTTCTGAAGCCCCCTCACGCTAATTAAGTACAGACCCATGCTAACAGCTAATTGGACTCCACCGTTTCCTTAGTGTCCCCACTTAGGTCCTCCACAAGACTATAAACCCTCCCCTCCCCAGCCAGGCGGTGCGACTTACCGGGCCCCTCTCAGGGACCCGTGAACCTCGCCCGGGGCCCTCTTGGGGGCCCATAAACCTCACCCGGAAACTCAGAATAAAATCTTCTCTTTAACCTCACTTTTGTGCATCCTCTTCTTCTTACTGTGGCCTTACAACCTCGAACATTTTTGTGGCAAATAAAATAGACAAAAGATTGTGGACTTTAATATCAGACAGAATTCCATTCAAATTCTACTCTGCCTTTATCAGCTCTGTGATCTTGAGCACAGATTTCATCTCTCTGAGTCCATTTTTCACCTATAGAGTGAGATTGATAGTGCATTGTAGGGCTGAGGGGATTAAATAAAATGCCCATCCATGTCTGAAGGAGCTCTGGTAGCATAGTGCATAAAGTACTTGACTGCTAACCAGAAGGCTGGCAGTTCAAACCCACCAGCCACTCCTTGGAAGGAAGGTTGGGCAATCTACTTCCATAGTGATACCACCTCAGAAACCCAAGGAGGGGTTGCTATGAGTTAGGGCTGTCTCGACAGCAAACAACAACAACAACAAAATCCATGCCTGGTATATAGTAAGTTTCTAGGGAATGTTGGTAAGTTAATTTTATTAAAAACTGAATTCATATATGATTGATATAATTGCTATTACTTAATTGTACACATGAAAATTGTTGAATTGACAATTTTTTTACAACAACAACAAAAAAAAAACCTCAAATTTATCATCCAAATGCTTACAGAAAAGTTATAATTCAGAGATCCCATTAATTATCCAATGAGCTCTGTTGGTGCTGTGGTTAAAGCATTGGGCTGCTAACCAAAAGATCAGTGGTTCAAACCCACCAACTTCTCTATGGGAGAAAGATTAGGCAGTCTGTTTCCATAATGATTTATAGGCTTGGAATCCCGATGGAGGTTGCTTCTGATGTTTTTCAGGATACTTCAACATTAGTTTCTGTTTAATTTGAGGCTAATTTTGCACCTTAGGTTATCAGGACCATAGAAACCAGAAAAGATTTCTGCCACAATTCTTCCACAAGTTATTTTTTCTTCCCAGAAATATGGAGGCTAGTTTTCAAGATCTTTGCCTTCCATTCCATCCCTCTATTTAGCTACCAGAGTATTTTCTCATGTGAAACTTTAACAACTTTGTCACCATTAACCAATGAAAGAGGGTCAAAAAGCTTTTCAACCATAAGCTTTTAATACAATATATTATTAGAGTGTAATGGGAAGATTTAGTAAAATGAGGTGATCAATCTTTTAATTCAGAAGTAGTTTTGGAAATTAAATAAATAAGGATCCCCAGCCAGTTAACATTAGTTGTGTAAATATCCAGTTTGCAAGGTTGGGGAAAATCATAATTTCTCAACTTTATAGCTTTAATGTGAATTCTTTTTCTGCTGTCAGCACTTATTAGCACTTAGAATCATGGAATGTAAGGGCTGGAAGGGGATTAACACAGTTCATCTTACAATGCAGTTGAGAAATCAGGCTGATGCGGTGAAGAAACCTTCTTTAGGAGGGAGAGGGCCTCTAGTCAGAACCTACACCTGGACCCAGGGATTCTTACCCTCAGTGCTGTCCTCTGTTTTCCTTGTATGACTTCTGTTCTTTGTTATTCTTCAGGATTTCTAACCTATCAGCTCCTCTCAGCATTCAGTGAAGATGTTTCTATGAGCTATAAGCAGTTTTGGCTTTCATTCCTGCCTTATCCCTCTATATTTCCTTCAGCAAAGCTATATGTAAAGAGATGGTCTACATGTATACCTCCAAAACTTTTAGTGTCATTATTTTCTAAAAGAATATAAAGAAAAATTACTCCCTTGTGTACAGAGTTGCCAAATTTGGCAAATAAAAGTCCTTATATTTTAAAATAATAGTTATTTATTGGAATAGTGTCTAAGGCATGTGACTTCTAACCAGAAGGCTAGAAGTTCAAACCCAGCAGCCTCTCCTTGGAAGGAAGATTGGGCAATCTGCTTCCATAGAGATACTGCCTCAGAAACCCAAGGAGTGGTCTCTAGGAGTCAGATTTGACTCCATGGCAGGGAGTTTGTTTTTTCTAATTTATTGGAAATTCAACTTTAACTTGAGTCCTATATGTTAACTGGCAACCCTACTTGTATATTTCCATCTCACTACCCTCAGTGAGATACAGAAATAGCAAGGGGGCATTATTAATACCTTTCTGCATAGTTAGGAGATGTTTGTAGCTTGTAGAAAACAATTTGTAGGAGGTATGGAAATTTCATCTGATTTTAGAACTCAACATCTGCATTGTTTTGGTTATCTATCACTGCTGAACAAACTACAGCAAACAACAATCATTTTTTATTATGTCTCATGATTCCCTGGGTTAGCTGAAGGCAGCTGAGTGAGATGGGATCTAGCAGGGCTGCCTCTGTACTGTTTTTACTTGAGGTTTCACAGGCAGTGGCAGTCAGATGGAGACCACTGGGTGTCTGGGGCCGCAGTGCTTTCTGTCCCTTCTCTCCACATGCTTGCCAATATTCTAGGACTCCTCCATGTAACTTATCTCTCTGACAACATAGCTTGGATTTCTTACATGAGAGTTCAGGGCTCAGAAAGGGGAAGTGGAAGCTGCTAGACCTTGTTAATGTCTGATTTTGAAGTTGCACAGTGTTGTTTCCTCCACATTCTATTGGTCAGAACAAATACAAACCCAGCCCCAGGTCAATTGGAAAAGGCAGCAGAGCTCTATCTCTTGTAGAAGTGATATGTGCATACAGGAAGGGATGGAATTGTTAAGACCCATCTTTGGAGTCAACCATCGTCACTGATGTGATCCTTTCTCATTATTCTCACTTGCCCACCCCAGGATTTTGTTTTCCATCCTGATGTTTATACAGCAACATGAATCATCTCCACCTCTTCTTATTCTTTGTAACTTTATCTAATAGTTTGTTTTAAGTGTGTTATATAGGCTCTTTTCAGGCAGTTAGGAGAAAGCCTATCCTTAGAATATTTTTCCTTGGAAGATGTAATGTTTATCTAGTTCTATAACTGTTTTATTTTTGTTTTTGAGTAAGAATTAAGTAGAATTCATCTTCTAATCCATTCCCTTGCATATCTGTGTCTTTGCCATCATCACCACATATTCATTTTGATTCAAGGAATGGGTTTGTTTTCCATGAGGAGTGAGATAGATATGGTGAGAAGCAAATTACACATTTTGAAGCCTGGATGGAATGTCCTGGAAGATGAATTAATATATTTATTTGTTTCAACTTTCACGCCTTTTTTTTTTTTTTTTTCTTTCTTTCCTGTTTTGCTAGAGAATGGAGATAAAAGTCCTTGGCATGGTAGTCCATGTTCTTAATCCCCATTATTTTAAATATTTCCTCTCTTTTACCTTCTTCTCAGTTCCTTCTTCTCACATGCCAAAACATTACCTATTGTCTCTCTAAATAGTATACTTACTATCCACCAAATTTTCCATCACTACTGTAGTGATACTGCCTCGGAAACAAACCCAAGGAGGGGTCACTATGAGTCGGGTCTGACTCGACAGCACATAACAACAACAACCTCCCAAACACATATGTATCTTTGTATACATGGTTTCTTTTGTTTGGTGCCCTTCTATTTCACTGCCTTCCCATTCCCCACCCTACCCCGCTACACCTCCCAGTGACTGAAGAAGTTCAAGGCCAGGGTTAGTGCTTCTTCCATAAAACGTTTGCCATTTTCACCAGCAATAAATAATCTCTTTCTTCCTTGAACACTCATACCATGTGTAGTTCTAGTGTGGCAGTAGTCATATCCTGCTTTTTCTTTATTCTCCAATTTGATTTTAAACCTTTATAATGACAGTGAAGACAACATCTCTTATTTAGTAAATGGTTTTGCCTTCTACCAAGTGTTGTCCTTACATTTTTTATTTTTATCTGGTAATTAGAAACAATGCCATGAAAAGAAAACAATTTTCTTCATTTTTTAAGGTGAGTCTGATTACCAAACTTTGGTAGAGCCAAAGTCCTAGTCCATGTGCATTTGACCTAGCCCATGTTTGTAACCACAATACCCATAGACACATGCTTGTTCACCTTCAGAACCCTCGGTGCATACTACACTGGCTTTCCCATCATAAATATGTATATTTTTCTTTTTTTTTTTTAATTGGTGTTTTAAAAGTTGTTTTTAAATTTAAGTTTTCTTCTTCTTTTCTTCTATTTGTTTAATAACTTCATACCTGTTGGAACTCTTAATAAAGAGTTCCAATAAACTTAATAAAAAAGGAAGAGT